GAGCGACCTCAGCAGACGGAGCTAAGGGAAAATGACTGTGTGTACGCCATGGTCCATAAAACCAGGTGATCTGAAGTGTTTGTACAAGAGACTGCACCGCTGAGCATCGATAGAGAGAGAGGAGGTGATGTTAAGATGCCTGGAGGTCTTTAACCTTAAATACAAGCCGTCAAAGCTCGTATATATTGTGATTTTCAGTATTTACTTTAAACACTAGCACTGCTGGTTTTTGTAGGCTATTTATCTTTGCTTTTCTTCCTAAAGGTTTGTATGATGTACCTTTCAGTTTTTACTTGTCTTTAATTTATAAACATATTTAATGTACTTGCGAGGATTATGATACAAGTTTAGAGAAGAGCTTGCTTTACAATGTCTTTAGCTTTATTATTCTAGTGGCTGTCAGACATGAACATACTCGGGTCCCCTCGTTTCCAATTCATTTAAAAATAGCTGCTTTTAATTTGAAAGCACTGAAGTCATCCATCCATCCATTATCTATGCACCGCTTAATCCTCACTAGGGTCGCGGGGGTGCTGGAGCTTACTGAAGTCATACAATTTACCAAAACAAAACTGTATTGATTATATAGATTTTGGGTGAATTAGTCAATGGCCATAATGCCTTAAATAAATTCTGGTGCAGTATCAAGAGAAAAAAGAATTAATAATAGTTCGGTGCCGACAGTTTGGGAGGAAATGTCACAATCAGCGGTGCCATCTTCCTTCCGCCCTTCTCGTCTAAAGATAAATTTGCAGTGAAATGTCTTGTGTCTTGGGACGTTCTCACTAAGCAGTAATTATTTCCATGACGCAAACACTTTGGCTTTTTCTGAGCTTTCATTCTTACGAAACGTTATGTTGGCTCAGTTTATCGGTTGCATTTGAATCAGTTAATGGTCAAATATCCCCTCGATGCAAACAGAAATTTGAAAAGGCTCTATAGTTGTAACTGTCCTACATTCTCTTAAAGTTCAAGGAGGGAGTTAGTTTTGTTTAGTAAATGCAGGCATAAGTAATAAGCAAGTCTTTGTTACTACCAGTCGTGTCTGATCTCTTTATTGCCTGCTTTATGTACTATTTTTTCTTCTGAAATCTGAACGACAAGTCCTGTAGTTTTTTCACTTAAGTGAGTGAGCTGCAGAGGAAAAACATGTGAAGCATCGTTCACATGTAGATTCTCTCCTTTACTGAAACAGGGAAGAACTCTAATTGAAAAATGTTATGTCTTCTCAGAATTCAGTCAACTCAAATTAACGCTGCTCGAGAGGAAAGGCATTTAACAGCTTCACAGATGTATTTATCTTTAATACAATCAAGTAAAGCTTTCTATATTTAGCCTGATGCTCTTCCTCTGTGTTTGTGGTTCACGGTGTTGAATGTACCTGCGCAAACAGACGTTTTTAGTTTTAGAATGTAACAACATTTTATGACTTTCAAATAATGCTAATAATTGAGAATCTGAGGCTTCCAGGTCTGGAGGATTGTGGATAAATATTTGGAGTAAATAGAAAGTCAGTTAAACAAAAGCCTTTGTGATTTTGTGCAAACCAAGCAATCTAAAGGGTTCATGAAAAGAAAAGTTCTTATAGCCTGAAATTAAACTGGACCACTTTTGGATCAGTATGTCATCTTTGGATACCTTTCAATGTTGCAAGTGGTGCAGATGAATGGGGTTAAATGGTTAAACACAATCCATATAATTGAAGTACATATTTTGCACAAGATAGATTTTGCATAGAATAGAATAGAACTTTATTGATCCCTTTGGTGGAAACCTCAGGGTTTGGACATGTGAGAAATAAAAGTTTAGAAATTGCAGAGATTGGTCACTATATGCTCGAAGGCATAAATATCTCCCTGAAAGAGGGAGAAAAACATACAAAACATTTTAATTTAACAATTATGTTATATTTTAGCTAATTTACTGTAAATGACTAAATCAGTCAAAGACAGGACAAAGCGCGTGTTTTTCACACCAGTTTCTCAGCACATATTTACAAGGACGTGAGACCACAGATATCATATGCATCGACTTCCTAACTCTGTTCCTTCCTCTTCTAAAGAACCAACCTTTTTTTAAACTTAACCACTGTGTGGCTTGCATGCTCCGACTCTAAATAGCGTAGAAACAGTTTGTTTCTGGCTGGTTTCAGCTAGCGGAATAAAAGCCTGCTGCATCAACTAACTTGTTCAGTTAAACTCTTGACTCTCAGACACATGCACACAAAAAGCAACTCATCGTGAACATTTTTGGAGACTTTTTATATTGTCAGTGCTGTAAATGGATGCAGGTTAAAGCTAAATAATCATCTGCCAGCAGCCTTTTGGCGTGGGCGTGGACCAGTGTATGAGCAAACCTTTGATCCTCAGACTGGGTTGCATCTATTTTCTCTTCTTGGCGCCATCCTATATCACACTTTAACACACTTACATTTGTGCAAAAAAAAAAAAAAGAAATGACATAACAGGTCGCACATTCATGTTTGTCTTTAGCTTCAGTTTTTTTCACTTCCTCTATTGCTGTACTTCTTCTTTTTCTGCTTTATCAGATTTTATTGTGTTCTTAAAACATTTCACAAGAAGCGTAGATTATAGATTTTTTATTTTCTTCTTAATTTTTGGATATTTTTCCTGTTTGTATCTAGTTTGTGACATCCTGTGCTTAAATTCGACCCGAGAGGTTTAGATGTTTTCTTGCCGTGGGTTTAATCAAACACAGAAGTTGCTTGTTTGATTTGATAGTTTGGGGTTAAAGGTTCACAACCAAGAACTACCATTCAGCTGAGTCACGAATACAGGTGCCATAAAATTGGCATTTACGATCCATGATAGTTGTAGTGTCCTTAAACAACCACCTGAGATCCTCATCGTCTCATCCTGATCATCTGACCAGTCAGCCACTACTAATTTGTACGCTGTTGTAATCCTATGAGCATTAACCTGTTCAGTATTGTTTTAGCTGTTTACCTTCCAGTGTGTGTGTGACATACAAGAAATCGAAAGAGGTTCGACTGTTGCATGTTAACTTTTGATTCTTGGAGCCACAATTAATCATTTATTTTTTGCACATGAAAGCCAGGTGATTTTATCATTGTCGTGACACTTTCACGTGATGCTACCTTGCCATGCCAAAGGTACTGAACTATAAAACCAAGACTGGTGCCAATTCCTTGATCATGAGCATGCTAGCTTTTGACTCAATCGAGTCTTTAGAAAAAAAAGAGTTTTGTCAGCAAGGAAATAATTTGATTTCAAATGGTTTGATTCACTTCTTGTGTCATATTCAGTACAGCTGTTAAATGCTGTATGTACAGAAATAAATGCAGTGTTATAAGAAACAACAGTAGTATCGTCTGTATTGTTTTATATTTTAAAAGAGAATGAATGGAACAAGATTGAAATCATCTCAGGCCATAATTTCATTAAATTTTTGTACTTAGCGGCAGGTAAAGCTTTATGGCATCAGTGCATTTCTTCATTAGTGAACAGGACGCTTTTCTCTGTGGAAACATTTTCGAAACTTGTGGTGGAGTTAAAGACCCACAGCTTCTTTCTTTGCTCCATGCAAACACAACAAACAACCCAACTAATAAAACCTCTGTGCTGAGCTAGTACAACATGTTTTACAAACGTCAAAACCAGCCAACTGAAAGAGAAAACATGGACATTTTTCTTACTGTATCACTGCTCACATAACTGCATACATTGCACAAAGTTGGTGGTTCAGTGGTTTATTTTGAAAAAAAAAAAAAAAAAATCCCCCAGTGCTAAATTTTGCACAACACCACTTCTTCTGCTTCTTTAAAATTACAAGAGGAAAAACGTCAAAGCGTGTAAACTTTTCTTACATGTATAGTGCATACATTAACATTTCATATATACAACCAATGAGTCCCAAAAAAACTAGGGCAGCAGTGGATTTCTTCGCTTAAAATAGTCGCCCAGTTCATGACAAGGCTGAATGTCTGGGTTAAGCGGCACAGTGACTGTACATCACGAGTCATGTGGTTGAGCAATCTGCAGCAGTTTTTCAGGATGTGGCTAAACCCTGCTATCTGAACGTTTCATTTCATGGTCAATTTTAAGCATGTTGTTCTCATTTCTTTGATGTAGCACAGTGTAAAATCTGAATAAAAAAACTGGCTTTCGTGTCAAAGTCTTCCTTCTTCACCTTAGTATTTATTATCATTTCTGTGCATTCACCCCATTACTGGGCTATATAAAGCTGCCTTCCTAACTGAAACCCATTGGTGTACAGTTTTTGAATGATCCATTTCCATGACATATCCTACATCAATATTTCAACAGATAGAACTTTAAAACCATTGTTTATGATTTCCCCCCTACTTTCAACACCAGAAACAGACCAACACTTTGCTCTTTTTCGATTTCCTGCAAATGCAAGTTGCCATATAGAAACACATTAGTGCCATTTTACTTCCATAAAAATAAGTAATAGGTGGGGCTATGTTTTGATACATGTGGATCTACATTATTCCTGTTTATTCCCTCGTGCACTTAGAGCAAACAGGGAGAGAGAGAGAGAGAAAAGACACTAATTCCTTTCTCTCATTCATGTAGCAGAAACTTGACCATACATGCATTGTTACTCTTTTCAGCAACATCCTCAGGAATGTCCTTTTACATTAAAGAGGAAACTTCTAAAAATGACGTTTCACTGTCCTTCAAGCAACATGTCTTAACATTTGCACATACGCTTCACAAGTGACACTTTAGCCTGATGCTGAAAATGATTCATACGAAGTGAAAGAAGTCCAGTGATTAGTAAATGCCTGTTAACATATAATCAGTGCATGTCTTTGTAAACTGGAGGAGGTGCAGCATTGACGTGAATCACCTTCATTCATTCTGTGGTAAACTTATTTTTAAAAAAAGCAAACTATTTACACATCACATACTTTGTCAGTCCTCAATATGAGATCCACCTAGTATTCCTCTGATTTTATATCTGACAAAATGTTGCTGCTGGGGCTGGTGGTATTGTGAGATTCAGTGGCTCCACCATGTACAGGGGGGGTAGGTGTAGTTGTGGAGGCCTGTTGGGATTGCTGCAGCTTCTTCCTGTTGATCTTCCTCTCTTTGGCACGTCTGTTCTGAAACCAGATCTTCACCTGATGTACACAAGCACGAGATATCAATAAGAACCGCTTCGAAATGCGGATAGAATATTATTTCCAACAGCTCTTTTCGTGCCCTCCGGTCTCTTACATCTTGCACATTTGTACTCTCAAAAGGACGTCTGCTAACAACCAACTGCATTGACTTTGCTTTTTGTCGTAACTGGCTTCTGCACTGTCTTATCTACTTCTGCGTAAGTTTTGTAATCTCCAACTTCCCCAGGCTAGCTCTGGCTGCTGACGCCACTCAGCACTCAGCTGTGGGAACAAGTCAGATGACCAGCCGTAAGAAGCAACAACAATAATAACAGCATTATGGCAGCGAAAGTGAGTGATATACCATCAACACTACTTAAGGGTTTGGCCACAAAACATTATGGTTTATGGAAGTCTTCTTCTAAAGCTGGCTCCTCGAAAATGGAATTTCTGAAGAACTTTCTGCTAATGCGTGCTGTGTTAAGATTAACTCTGCATTTAGGCGTAAGAGAAACACAGCAACTGCACAGATCAAGGGTCCTGTGCCAAAGGCTGTATTTGAGGAGCTAGTTTTACTTTCCCAAATCGGTAAAATATAAACAATGTAAATCCCATGAAAAAAATACAATCTAATCATTTTGTAGCGCTCAGTCCTCACCTTCTCTTCTCCCCCACCTCACACAAACATAAAAAACACAAAAACCACTGAGTTTCTACACAAAGCTGCCGCAAATTTCAATATTCTGCCTGCACATCAGACATAATGTTCTTTAATTTGCAGCAACCATTCCCGACACTTTAACTCTATCTTGAAAAGAAGGAATTAAAGTGTCTGGACCCAGTGCTGGAAGTGAAACTTAAGGAAGGTTTGAAAGAAGAAATGGCACATTTGATTTCTTGTAAATTAATTTCACAAGTCATAACACATGCTCTTGCTCAGTACAAAACAGTCTGGGTTTTGGAAGCTTTGAGCCTCACATTGTTTTTCTGATGCAATCTTCTGCAGATGCAGGCTGCAGTAAAGTCAAAAGAAGGATGAAGCTGGTGTTTCTGAATGCAGTTTTTTAAGTAATTGAGGAAGCTGAAAGTCTTCTAATAATAATAGAGTTTGGGTTGGTATTTTTTTTTTTACATTCACCACATTCTCACTTGCATTGTAAGCCCATTTGCACTTTGTCACCTTTTCTTTACGCTTTACCTCTATTTATTTTTAGTCCTCTGGCCTCTCTCCGAGGTGTCGCTGATGTTGTTGTGATGCACTTTGCAGTTAAATGTGTCAGTATTTGTTACATCATCTGTTAATTGTGGCTGAATGTATGTAACAGAAAGGACAGCAAACTAACGACCAAACCAACCTGTCGCTCAGAGAGGCTCAGTGTCATCGACAGCTCCGACTTCCTCCTCATGGTGATGTAGCGGTTATACTGAAACTCCTTCTCCAGCTCCATTCGCTGGTGGTCGGTATACACCACCCTGTACTTGTCTTTGGTGCGCGTCTTCCCCCCTGAATCACACAAAACATACCCAAATTAGTAAATAAAAATGGACACAAGCTTGGATGGTTGACTGACTCAATGTAAGTAAATGGGTGTGTTTTCCATTCATGTGTGTTTCGTGTAATACAAACAAGTGATATTATGTCAGTGAGTCACATGCAGAGCTGAGCTGTGGCCAAACAGATGTCTGGTGCCACGTTCAAGTCCAGGCGCCACTTAAAGCCTCATCAATTCTATTAATCACGCTGACTATAACTAATGTAAAGACTCTCCACTGCATTGCATCAGTGGCTCTCTCTTATCACACAGAGTGGTGTTTACATAGGTGTTTACACAGGCAGCTATTCATTGACACGCATGTTCACACACACGTAAGGAACTGCTAGTTATTGATTGGGAATTTGAGCATGTGACAGCATCGATCGAAGCACACACACACAAACATGGGTAAGGCCTCAGATTCAGTGGAGATTTTGGTTTGACTTCTGCAGACTTCCTCTACAACCAGTGTTATCTATCCAGCTTGCACCCACCCAGTGGACAGAGAGGGTGGGGAGTGACACTTGTGCAGACTTCACGGCCTCCACTGTTAGCTTTGCATTGACACCTCGCTGGCGGAAGGGAGAGGTGAACACGATGATGAATGTGTGTGTGCAGCAGGTCTGACTTCACTCTTTGCACATGTTGAAACCATTCCTATTTTTGAAAATGCACACCGGCTCCACTGTGGAGGTTTGGTTTGTCATGTGACTGCACTGAAGACTCCGTCTAATAACTGAAGAGTTTGAGCATCCTCAGTTATAAAGTGAGTGATATCTATCTTTTCCTGTTGGCGGAATTTGTTGACTTTTAAGACACCCGATATGTGATCAACCTCAAGATAAACTAGAACATGGTGTTCAGTGTAATTCAGATAACATCTATGTACGTTTCAAAGAAGCCTTTCTAATCTGATGTTTAAATGTAACCTGTAATTACATTTGAAGGGCTTGTGTTTTGCATTATTTAACGGAATGATGCAGTGTGTATATCAGGATTGACTCACCTGAAGCTGTCTGTCTGATGGACTCATGGGGTCTCCTCCTGGAGCTGAAGGTGTCCTGCCCGGGGATGAAGCTGTACGGGGTAAGTGACCCCTCTCCAGCGATGGAGGGAGTCCCGATCAGCTCCGGGGAGGTGAAGGTGACCTGGCTGGCGCTGGGGCTCGAACCCGTGAAGCTGTACGGATATTCATCCCGGGGGTTGTAAACAGGGTTCCAGGCGCTGGACAAGTCACCGACTCCTGAGACATGATGATGATGGTACCCGGTGAAGTCATACGAAGGCGGGATGTACTGACCGTTCAGTGACAGTGTCTGAGCCGGGTGTCTCACCGACTGTGAGTTGGGGTACATGCCGGTGACCTTGTTCGACAGCTGGGGTGACTCTCTGGCAGACGTCGGTGAATCAAACCTCTGTGCGCATGTTAGGCCAGCTATTCCCGGCAGGATCTGGCGCTCTGCTTTCACTTCAGTCTAAGGTTCAGGCTTATTACTGGCTGGCTACCTGTGCAGTCAAACTACACACCTTTATAGATTTACTGCCTGGGAGTCCAAAAGTATCACCGTGACGTCACACTTTACCTGACACCCACCTGGCTGAGCTTCTTGGCGAATTCAGGACATTGACCCTTATTTACCCAGTGCATTCTGAGCATTTTTTTTTTTTTTTTACGGCCATTCTGTGGAGTCATGTTTACAGGGCTCATGTGATAGTCAGACTGTAAATCAAAATAAGATAAAGAACAGTAGTGGAAAATTAGTTGTAAAAGGGGAAAAGTGTGGCATTGAGCAGCAGAAAAACTCCTGGCTGTTGTCAGTATTTGAAGAAAAGAGGCCCAGCAAAACTTATGCATGCCACACATGCAAAAAACAAAACAAAACAAAAACAAACAAACAAACAAAAAAAAAATAGCTACAGACTGCACATTGATTCATTTATTTAACTCAAAGGCCTAAGTGTTGCTTTTCTACACTGCCAGTCTATGTGATTTTCTTTTAATCAAAATGCCATTGACTGCAATTTGTTCAGTGACAAGCAGACAAATTGATGATATAGGTGAATAGGAGATGTTTGTAGTATGTGTATAAGTACATGTAAGAGCAGAATTATATCATCTATGACAGAGAAAATGGCAGTTATAGCTATGGCCCTGCCTACCTGATATACAGCTGAAACCAGAAGTTTACATACACTGTACAAAAAGACGCATGCCTTCTATTTTTTCTCCTCCCTTTAAATATATATATATTTACTTTCTTTAAGTTCAGAAGTTTACATACATTTCCTTAATATTTGGTAGCATTGCCTTTAAACTGTATGACTTGGGTCAATTGTTTTGGGTTTCCTTCCACAAGCGTCTCACAACAGTTTGATATAATTTTGGCCCATTCCTCCTGACAGAACTGGTGGAACTGAATCAGGTTTGTTGGACGTCTTGCTCACACACACCTTTTCAGCTCTGTCCACAAATTTTTTACAGGATTGAGATCAGGGCTTTGTGATGGCCACTCCACAACATTGACTTTGTTGTCCTTAAGTCACTTTATAACTAATCTGGCGTTATGCTTAGGGTCATTGTCCATTTGGAAGACGTATTTCCCTGTGGGCATTTGCAAACTGTAATCTGGCTTTTTCATGTTGCTTTTGGAGTAATGTCTTCTTCCTCTCTGAGCATCCTTTCAGCCCATGTTGGTACAGGACTTGTTTCACTGTGGATAATGACGCTCTCTTACCAGCTTCAGCAGCATCTTCACAAGGTCTTTTGCTTTTGTTCTGGGGTTGATACGCACATTTCACACCAAAACTCTTCATCTCTGGGACACAGAACCCGTCTCCTTCCTGAACGGTATGATGGACATTCTCATGGTATTTATGCTTGCATGTAATTGTTTGAACAGATGAACGTGGAACCTTCAGGCATCTGGAAAATGTACCCAAGGATGAACCAGACTTGTGGAGGTCCACAATTCTCTTGCTGATATCTTGGCTGATTTCTTTAGATTTTCCATGTTGTCACAAAAGGAAGCAGTGTGTTTGAGGTGTGCCTTAAAATATATCCATAGGTGTGCCTCCAATTAAGTCACATGTTGTCAGTTAACCTATCAAAAGCTTCCAAACCCATGACATCATCATCTGTACTTTCCCAAATAGTTTGACGGCATAGTGATCTTAGTGTATGTAAACTTCAGACTTTAAAAAAAAAGTAGTAAAAAAAATCTCAAAAAACTTCTCTCTCTCATTATTCTGGCACTTAGAAAATGGAAATAATTTTGGTAATCCTAACTGACCTAAAACAGGCAAAGTTTAGTCTGATTTAATGTCAGACAGTGAGAAAAAAAAAAAAAGATTATGTGTCTTTTTATACAGTGTATGTAAACTTGTGAGTTCAATTGTATATTCCATTTAACTATAAGTATTATTATCATATGGTTGTTGTATAAGCAACATGTAAATCTAACATCTGTATTAATATTGAAATAATTTTTGAGAATTTCTATACTGTTGAGTTAAATACACAGTCACACAGTTTAGTAGTTCAAAGTTAATCGGTCCCAATTATATATGCTCCCCATTAGATTATTCTTTGAAAAGACAGCTTTTTAGCCAACCTCCTTTCATTTTCCAAACAACCAGCCTAATTTTTAAATTCATTTCTGTAAGATAATGGTTTAAATGTCAAGAAGACTAATTTGAATGCGATTGTTGTTGTTGTTATCAATTGAAGCACTTCTGAAAAATAAATAAATCCTACATATATTCTGTAATGTAAAGTCTGCTGTGATGCACACGAGATATAGGAACTGGCCATCCAGACCGTTCACATGAAGTTTAAAGTAAACAAACAGAAAGACTGAAGTAAGAAGGTTTACTGTCCACTATGTCTTGTCTTAAAACATCCACAGGAGGTCAGCAAAAAGCTGAATAATAGCAGATAATTTTACAGGATCCTTAGTTCATCAGAGCCTCAAATTTGTTGTTTCCCAACAAGATGCACAAAGTTTATTCATCATTCCACCTGATGCTGGCTTTAAGAATTTTCTACATTTAATTGATATTGTGCCTCATCCCACTCAGAAAGTTTAAGTGTTTGTCTACATCTGATTCTATAAAGCCTTCATAAAAGATTCATGCCACTATCTTGGTCAAAACAGGCATTATCAGCTATAACAGCTGTTAGCTGTTCACATGAAACAGGCTCATTTTAATTTAGATCAAAATGCTAATGGGCTGAACAGTAAGGGAAGTGCAACATAAACATAATAAACATATTACTGCCCCTACTAACATCAATCGCACATCCAAGCACATTATCATTTGCACGTTCTGTTCATTTGCACATTTCTGTATCTCTCTTATATATTCTTGTAAATGCGGTTGACTTTTCTTTCTATATTAAATTTTCTATATTTTTAACCTGTTTTATTTCACTTTATTTTACCTTCATTTATACCCTAGCCTAGTATTCTGTGTTGTCTTTTTGCTTTTGTTGAATATTCATGCTGCTGTAACCACTGAATTTCCCTCCGGGGATTAATAAATCTAAAATAAACTCCTGTACAATCTGAAGCGTCAGATTGTCTGAGCTTCATATAGCCTTAAATCTTATAATAAAAGTGTCTTTAAACATCCAGACCCCAAAAATAGAACCTTATAGTAAAAGCATAAGACATCTATCTGCTGCTGTGGGCCAAAAACAACCAGTATATACCTTCAGTATTTAGCTAAATGAGGGGTTACTTTATGGGGATGATCCACATGTAGAGATTCACTCTAAACAGTGCAGCACAACCTGTGCTTCTCATGTTAAAGTTCACTGATGGGGAACTAATAAGAGGCCTGTTCTCTGTTTGACATTTCTAAATGCTCACATGTGTTGTAGAAGGAGCTGCTGTTCAGGCACTTTACCCTCAACTGTCAGTCCACAAAAAGCCTGCCAACGGCCCTAAGATTCTGCTTCCTCATGCCAGTCAGACATTGAAAATTATTAGCAGGACATAGCCCCCTAAAGCGTTTTAATTTATAGATCGTGACACATTCTGTACACTCACTGAGTCTTCAAAATAACAGGATGGGCAACAGCAGTCTTAAAATCCACATAACAGCTGAGTCAGACTTTGTTCAGCCTGAATTCAGCTGATCAACCACAAAACATTGATCACATGCTGATTTTACACATTGTCCTTGTGTTGTTTGTGCCCCATTTCAGTTTCTGTCCCTTTTTTTAACATATGCCTTTGTATTCAGTAAAAAGCCGACAGGATGTGAGTGCAGGGAGAAGAAGGGGATGACATGCGATAATGATTCCAGGCCAGACTTGAACTCTGTGATTATACGGTCAGTGTTTTGTATTTTCTAATGTTTGTCTTTTATTCTCCTTGGGGTGTTGCGGTTAATTTTGGCCATAACTACTGATTATATCAATTACTGTGTCAGTTATGTTCTTGATAGCATTTTTTTCCCTGTGAAATGTCAGAAAAAAATCAGCTAATCCTTTCCTTAACTCTAAGGTGAGATGGCCCAAATGTAAAGTTAGTCTGTTTGCTATCACATTAGACAAAGACAAAAGGCAACTTTTTAAGTTTGAACAAGATATTCTAACGCATTTTGTTTCAAAAAGTAAAATGAATGAATTATCAGATGATCTGTTTTCAGCTCTGAGTTGAATTTCTCCTGCCTCGTGCTGTTTGGATTGCTTTGCATTTGTGTCTCACTGGTGATGGAAATGACTGTTGCTGTTGACGTTCTATATTTGCTGCACATTTTCAGGTTTAGCCTCAAATGACGTCATCTGAAAAAAACCTAGAGGAGCTTCGGGACTAAAACCTGTTATCAGCACAACTTGAGATAGACGTGACACCAGATCAAAAACTATATTGCTTCATCCATCTTCACCTATCAGAGGAGTGTTAGGTTCAGCTCCAGGTCCTCCACCTCGCTTTCCCCCCCTCCAAGGGGCCTCTGCAGGGGCCCCCTGTATGTGTCGGACACTGCAAGATAACTTTTCGCTTTATCTGAACCCAAAACACAAACTTGCAACAGCATTAGGGGCGGAGCTGCACTCCAACTGTGGCACCAGTTCAGATCAGCAGTGAGAGAATCTGCTCTTTAGCTGCTCAGATAGGCTGAATAGGCTCAGTATTGTTGCAGCAGAATATTTTGGAGTCCAGTTTGTTAAGGGCTGGGCCGCTCTGACAAGCTGTGGGAGTAAACAAGGACTGATGCCAAATATAAAAGCCATAGACACCCGCTTATGGTGCATCTCTCTAGCACTCTATTGGTAACAACATGCTACAATTAAACATGATAATAAAATGCAAAGACTTCCTAGGTTTCCTAAACTTTCAATATTACCACCCACCGTGTCCTGTTAGAGCTGTGCAGGATGCTGCAGGATGTTTAGACAGCGTGTGACTTATCTCCAGCTGATAAAGGATTGTGTGTGGAGGAGTATTTGCATATGTGACTGTCTTGTGTTTTATTGCTGCATTATTACCTTTAATCTTTCTTGGGGTCAAATTGATGAGTTAAAAGCAGATTTATCTCAAGGAAGCGTGACCTACGTAGATAGATTTGGCTAGACGTTAAGGTGGGACTGTCCTGTGTGGTGTTGCTCCCCTCCTATCTAATAACCAGGAGCTTAACTGGCTCTCTAATTAGTGGTAGCAGAGCTTTTAGATTTACCCTCACAATTAGAGGAGAACATGTTACTGTCCAATTTACCCCCTGTTCCCTCCCCTCCTCCTCTGTCTGCACTGGCTCGCTTTGTTGGAGAGAAAAGGCCCTCGTCAGCTGCAGGGTCCCATTATGAATTTCAAGCCGTCCCCTCATATCCTGGGAAAGGATGAAATTAGGAAGAGAGCCAATATTGAGCACAGACATATTTGCATGGTGTGCATGTGTTTGAAAGAGAGACAGGATGAAAGAGCAGAGAGAAGAGGCAGAAGGGAGGAGGGGTGAAGACAGTGGGAGGTGTTGAGCTTTGTTATGTGGGGTGAATGGGAGGAAAGATTTAAAAAAAAAAAAGGAAATTTAAATATGACAGAAAAAGATATGTAACTTATAGGAAAACTAACTGTTTACCATCTTATACACCTGAATCTAGCAGTGCGATTATGTAAGTGAGGTTATTTTCCTGAGAAACTGAGACTTCCATGTTTGTTTCCAAAGCAGGCTACCGTGAGCTCTGCCAAAACCTTTCTTTTTTTTTTCTCCCTTTCCTGGACCTCTCACTCGCTCTCTCACTCTTTCACTTTCCCTTTTTATTGTGTTTGTTGTTTTATGGAGGGGTTAGATGCGGTCCAGATTGCTGTTGCCAATAGAGACTGTCTCAGTTCACCTCCAGTTGCTCGCCGCTCCATTCATAAACAAATCGCTCCAGCTCGGGACCTCTGAGCTGCTACCTAAGAACAACAAGCAGAACTCGATCTGTATTTTGAAGTTTTCCCCCCTCTCTCGTCCTCTTCGCTCACTTATTTTTTGAAACTTGCCTCTCTTTCTTTTTTTTTTTTTCTTCTTCTTCTCACTATTCCCTCCCTCCTCTCCCTCTTTCTGCTCAGCCTCAGAAGGGCCGGACCACTGACACTCTGCTCTGTGTGAATCTGTCAGGGAAGGAGTGTGTATGTGTGTTTCTTCATTGGAATCATTTTCTTTTTTCCAACAGCTCTCTTTCTAAGTGGTGGGCAGGCTCTTTTTCTACGTGAGAGAGAGAGAGAGAGAGAGAGAGAGAGAGAGAGAGAGGGAGAGAAAGACCCCCATGGTGCTGTGATTTGACTAAACAAACAGCCGGGCTCAGTGCGGTACCTCCTCCAACAGACTCCTGGGACAGCACAGATTAACCTCAGACTCTGAACATCTGAGGGATCTATACATTTGAAGCAGCAGCCCCTGTCGAGACAACCAGCTGGAAATCTCTCCTCTGATTTCCTTCTGTTGGCCGCCAACCTCCTTGGACGGAGAGGGGAGAGACTCGTCTGTGCTTCAAGGATCAGCCTGAAGGTAAGAGGTGCTACTTCTCTGTCACTGTCAAGCATTTTCACTGTTAGTCACGGCTGCCTGGCAGCTGCTGGCAGAAGTGAAGATGTACTGTACAAAGTGGTGAAAATTCACTTAGCCCACTGTGACGGATTCAATTTCACAGCCATCTGACACAGAGAGGATGTACTTCATCCTTATAACAGTGGACTTTAGGTTCATGTTGCTTTCTTAAATTCAATTATTACAATGATTGGATGAAGGCCAGTGAGGACAAGCCTTAATTCTGTTTTGTTGTGTGATGTTGTTGCTAGTTAATGGTAATGGGTCTCTGTTGGTGGGATTTGTCGCCTGCATACTTGAGTGTGTACACACCAGACATTACAATGTGAATGAGTGTGAGCAACCTGTTCAAACATCAACATAGTGATGGCTTGCATCTCTGTACATAGACACCGCTTTACTCTTCACACAGTACAACTTTAACAATGTTTACGTTCTCACTATGAGAATACGTTTGACAAGGTGTCCCAGGGCTCCTCAATACACAAACACACACACACACACACACACACACACACACACACGCACACACACACACACACACACTGGGCTTTATAGGACAAGCTGTTTGTATGCGCTCCACTTTGTGCTCCACTGCTAAAGGGCTTGTTTATACAGCCCTCTTCAGTCACCCTGAGTGAACTGACGGTCCTCAACGCTAAACCATCGGTCTCTTTCCTCCCCTGTGAATGGCCCTAACAGAATCAATCTTCTCCGCATAGCTCACTGAAAAGACCACGGCTGTGCATTGATATCTGACGTGGCGTTGCCTCACTGCCACCAGCGTCCTCTTTAACGGTGGATGGGTTTCCTTTCAGTGATAAGACATACCAGCCTAAATTGATAGCTTTATGCCTCGGTCACACTTTTCCTAACACAGATCTGTCATAAACCGCCTGAGGAACGCAGACATAAACAATCTGTTGAATCATCTCTCCGCATTCATCACAGGAGAAGCTTTTAGTACCTGGAGGGAGCTACATAATGGCAGTGTGAGCAGTTTCATGGCTGAGACACATGTGGCATGCATGTCTTTTCGCCCTAATCAGCCATATGTTTTGCACCTGAAAGCCTCCCCACTTCCCTGCCATGTATGGCTGCTGCGGTATTTAAGTTGCTGGGTTGGTTAACTGCACATCAGTCTTCCATGTACAGATGACCTTCTTGATATGAGAGCATTTGCATTAGCATAGGTTGTGATCAAAACAATGTTGGCATGTGTTTTGCGCATGCTGCTCTCCTCCTCTACATATAGGAGGTTGCTTTTGAAGTTTTTGATCCTCTCTGGCTCGGTGGATATTTTGGTCCAGGCATTGTCTTAGCACTGTTGTTGCAGATGAAGTGCTGGAAAGCTGCATACATGTCATACTTTTACCATCAACGGTATTGGACTGCACTGCATTCATTTCATAGTTTTACCGCCAGCTGAATGTCTCTTGCTCACTATTTCACAGCATCTACTTAAAAACAGTTCATGTGCTCGGACAGTTCTTTGCAGCAGGAATTTCAAAACTTAGTGAAGTTTAATTTCTCTCCTGATCAGTGGGGATTTTCCTCCCTGTGCGTCAGGCTGCTGGTATGTACTGCAGCTCTTCTCCCCGGCCCCTGATGCTGTGCAGCCCAGTCGGCTCCATTCTCCTGTCCCAGACCTAATCCTTCGTCATCAGCTGTTTCCTGGCTCTCCGGGCTCTTTGCATGCCAGTCGCTTTGAGAAAATGTGCTTCACATTATGACCATGCAGAAAACATGCCAGGAGTCTGATTCAGCTCACATGTGCTCCAGAGCGCCGATATGTAACAGTTTGAGCTCGGCAGCAAGTCCTGAAACACATTGATCTCATTCTGTCCGCTTATGATTTATCCTTCATGCCATGAGCTGAACACGCAGCTGCTGAACAACCAAGATCTGAGAACTGGTGTGACAATGTTTATGTCTGGATGAAATATAGAGTTTAAAAACTTATTTAGAACAATGAGACATCTTAACACAGGATAAGGGATGCACTGATTAATGAGTGTATGTTCTCAATCGGGTAATCGCTGACTCATTCCCTGGTGTTCAAGTGCTGTTTGATTCATAATTTGTCATTCATTCTTTTTCACTGAGCTGTTGTTACTCTGTACAGCTATGAGAGCTGTGCTTCACTGTACGCCGCTTCGTCTTAAACGTTGTGTTTAGACTTTATACTGAAGCCTTATAGCTTCAATGACAAGCACTAAGTGGTGCTGCAATAAAGCATCCTGTACGACTGCCGGTCCATCTGGCCTCCCCCTTGTTCCCTCCTTCTTTCCCTCCCACCCACTTACACAGAGCTGACAGGCAGCTGCATCTCATCTTCAGCCAGGAAGCACAGCCACTCCTGCAGGACGAATCATACAGGAAACGTTTATTTTATTTTATCGTACATTTTTTCTACTGTTGGAATACCAAAGTTTTAGAATTAGGCCACACATTAAAGACAAAGAAAGCTGCCAAGCAACTGAGAAATTGTCCAAACATATTGATAGTGGTAGAAAACAAAGTACATTTACTAATTTACTGCATTTAGGTACAATATTGAGGCACTTTATTTGAATATTTCCCGTAGTGCTTCTTCTATCACACTATTCTACTTTATATTCCACTGTGTGTGCATGATGCTGTCCATAAGTAGTCATTTCATTCAAAAGAAGAACTTGTAAGAAGAAAACTTAGACTTCGAAGTTCTGTTTTATTAAACTACCACCTTGTGATATTCTTGCATCCACCAGTCAAGTTTTAGCAACATTTCAATTAGAGTGACACTTGTATAGTGTTTGTTTATGTTTGTAGGCAACGATCAGTGGAATCTGAGTGTTAAACACTTTACAAATAATATTTTATGCTTTTCAACCCTGAACTTCAACTTAAGTGGTGCCTGCCATCCTTATCATCACACTCCCTCCCTGCTTCACTGTCAGGATTATGCATTCACTGTGGTAGTACTGGCCAGGGTCGAATATGCTGGACCCCATCTGAGTTAAACAAATTTATCTTGATCTCCCGACCAAAGATTGTGTCCCAATATTTATCAGGATTATTTCCATTTTCTTCAGTAAAGTTAATTCTTGCAGTTTTGTGCTGTAGACTAAGCAAGTTTTGTTTTTTTTGTTTTTTTCTTGGATGCTTTCCACAGAAGTTAATGTAATGAAATGTGTTTGTACTGTCTGAACTGTCATGGCAACTCTGAGTTTTACTGACTTCCACCTGTGCCAAGTCTGAAACATCTGTCCATCTGTTTTGTCAGAGCTTGATTGTGTAAGCAGTGCACTGTCCATGGCATCTTTTTAGAAAGAGGGCCACTGTAAATCTAATTTATGGTACTATGGTCTGTTCTAGACCTCCTGATCACTGCTGCAACTGTGTTTTCACTGAGGTTTAGTCAGTCACAGAACTTTCTGTAACCTTTTCCATCCTTGTATTCCTATGGCAATTTTTTTGGCTAAGTGAGACCATAATGCAGACGTGCACATAGACACAGCTCTTAGGTCTAAAACAGAGAAAATTCTGGTCTCCTCAGGTCAAATTATAAGCATGTCAATGCAATTATGTAAATTGCAAATCACTTCTAATCAAGTGTTCCATTTTATATTCTTATTTTTTGGCTTTATTAGATAGGCGGCTGTGGCCGGCTGTGCTTCAGGTGGTAGAGCGGTTGTCCTCTGACCGTAAGGTTGGTGGTTTGATCCCCGCCCCCTCCACAGTCGAAGTGTCCTTGGGCAAGACACTGAACTCGAAGTTGCTCCCAATGACAGGCAGCACCTGTCGCCATTGGTGTATGAATGTGTGTGTGAATGGGTGAATGAGACACATTGTAAAGCGCTTTGAGTGCCACAAAGGTAGAAAAGCGCTATGTAAGTGCAGACCATTTAGATAGGTAAGTGGAGGGAAGAACACAGGAAAGTAGGGAGAAGAGTTGGGGAAAGACCTACAGCAAATGGGCGTGGGCTGGATTCAAACCCATGGCTGCTGCATCAGGGACTTTAGCCCCTGTTTATGGGTCACCCGCTCAACCTGTTCATCTACCAGGTGCCTTAATCAGTTGTATGTCAATGATAAGAGGTGTAAACACTTTTGTTGCTTTGAGTTTGTATTTTAGGGCCTGTATTTTTGATATCATTTTTTCAAAGTTCTTTTTATGCTTCATAAGGAATTCTTTAGAAAGTCTCTACTTGTCAAACTAGAAACAAAAACAGGAACCTATTCCTTGGGTTTGAAGTAAAATGAAGAACTCTGGCTCGTAATGGAATGTTTTTACATTGTGGTTTCCACACTTTACTCAAGTAAATGACTTGGCTGTTTCTTCTACCCCTGTTTGGGTATTATGAGCTCCTCTCTGAATTGACTACATAAGGAACAATACAGATTTTAAGCAGGAAGTTTTGGTCTCCACCAAATTCTTTTCAAGCATCATGCTTGCTCTCTGGAGTTTGTGCTGTCCACTCTCCAACAAAAACATGTTGGAACTGATGATACAGTGCAGAGTGGGAAAAGAGGACAAAGAAAAACAGTCTGCTGCTTTTACAAGATAAGAATTTTCAGCAAAGAGAGACCCAGCAGAATTTTGCTCAGTTTGGGTGTTTCTGCTCAAGTCAAAGTAGAGGTCTATAAGGTGTAATGATATCAGATATGCAAACTTCACACAAGATAACATTTCTCCAGAGCTGCACAAATGGTATAAATGACTACCAGGAGTTGTGATGATCTGTCGCAGTTATTCCTAATTTTCCTCAACAAATGCAATTGAAAACCAGCCAGTCCTAATTGTATTCAGCTGTTTCAGTTTCCTTCTTTCTTGGGGGTGTGGGTGTGTAAGAGTAGAGGGGCTGGAAGTGTGTGTAGGCGTACTCCATTCCTCATGAGACTGGAGATCTTGTACCCTCCAGCTTTTCTCGGGACGGTGTGCAGGGAAAAGGAGTTTGTGCCACAGAGACGGGTGGAGA